GATCCTAATGGTAGATAGTAACTATGTTTATGAGATGGATCCAGGAAAAAAAATCAGCAGAAGTTTCTGAGTTTTGCTTTCCTTTTTAGAGGAAAAAGAGTTTCACTGAGAGGTTTAGTGCCAGCTTGGTATCATTTAGGCAGAGTAATATATCTGAAGGAAGATTAATGGTAATTAAAGTGGCATTGGAGAACTTTGGCAAATGACAGCAGCCAAGCTGGCTGTACTGATATTTTTAGAAAACTGACTTCATTGCATTCAGCATGACTCATTTATTAAGTTAGAATCAATAACTCAGCTTCTTATGGCAGTCACTGAACATGGAACAGTACATTAAGAGCGTGTTCTTACCTTTGATCAACGCTGGGATTATAAAAGTTGAACAGAATTGGTTCCATGCAGGTTCACAAGTGTCTTTGCACAAGCATGTTGTAGTTATGCAGTGGCAGTATAGTGCACCCACCTTGAACGTACGTGGGCAAAGGAGCACAGGGACAAACCAGTCCAAAGTTTGACTTGAATCTATAATGGGAAATAAGTTTGTGGCTACTATAACATTATATCCAGAATAAATTATGCTTACTAAAAGAGTTAATTTACCAATGGGATATTTGGGCTGTGGTTCATTGTTTCTAGCCTTCATTTGAGCACACTTCCTCCTGGTTTTTAACTTTTCATAACTTGGATAAAATTCAGATCTTCCCTCTTCAGTGATATTATGATTTGATTTGTGAAATAGTAAAGCTTTTGTCTGTTTCAATGCAACTGTATTGACCTTACTTCAGTATATTTCCTGTATTACCTAATTTCTGAGGTTGCTCTCGCAACTCTTCTTTGAACATTTTTTTTAATCCTTGTTGTGAGCTTTCTCCTACAGTCTATGCATTACATTTCATCCTGAGATGCACTTTTAGAATAAAAAGTTTCCCAAAAAAAGACAAAAACTTTGCATGCTTTCACAAACAGTTATGTGAGATTTTTCATTTCCTTATTATTTTTATGGAATTTCTGTCTAATCTTTTTGGATTTCTTTTCAGAGATCTCTGCTAGTTTTGCCCACTATAAGGTGTGGTTCTTTGCTTTTCTTGTGTCTTGTCTTTTGTTCTAATGACTATATCTGGGAATAATTTCACTTCTTTTCTGCAAACAGATGAGAGGAATTGGAGTATCTGTGTTACTTGCACAAGGTGGGATACAAACCTGTCGAGATAGACATGAGTATAAATTGTGGGAATTTTCAGAGAATATCTGTTGTATACACGCACAAACTGGAGCTAACAAGTGTTTGAAATAATTTCATTATTAAATAAAGTTTGGAAGAGGCAGACTTAGAGCATTAAGTCTCTTCAGATGGCTACTTTTTCAACTTCATGATGTAGCTGGCTGTATATTTCGCTTTGCTCTTGGTTTGTTGTATATTCATTCTGAGAGAAAATGCTATTTATGCTCTAGGATGCTGGCTGTTACATTGTTCAGCTCAAGAAAAAAGCGATAATAAAAGCAGACTGTGTGAAAGATGAAGAGTGAATCTGCATAAAAAATTGATCCCTGTTAAACTGAATTCTGGGCCTTCTAATATATGCTATGCTGTGTTACATCCTGGTGTACTAAATGTACTGTAGTGAATGTGTTCTTTTTGCTAGCAGATCCTTTGCTTTTCTGATTGTGGTGTAATTACTTCTTGAATACAATCAAAAGAAATTAATGTAAAATGTTTTAATAGTCTGTGAACAAAATCAGTATGCAAGAGAAATTGCTTTCAAGAAAATGCAAAAAATGATTGCCAAGTGCTCATATTTTGCCAGACACCATTGTGTATCACTCATTCTGTAGGTACCTTGTATAGCTGAAACCTGGCTGACCTCTGTTCTTTAAAGTGCTAGCGCTCAAGTTGAGGATATGCAAAATAACGTGAACTTCAAGACAGGGTACAATTAACAGTGACATGTAAATGTAATTTAGATAAATCTTTGAAATCTGATGTTTTCCTTAGGTTGGACGTGCTGATTAATGCATTGAATTTTAAATTTGTTTTGATTTTGCTGATGTTTTTTATGATTCATCTAAATGTTTTTGTTTCTCTCAGTAACTTTTTTATGTATATGTCTGTCTCTATGGGCTTATGCTTCTTGGAGATAGTTGAGACCCATCAGGAGGCCTACATGTGTGACCTTCTATAGGGTACCTATTTTAGCAGGGGGGTTGGATTCTATGATTTCGAGACCACTTCCAACCTTTACAATTCTCTGATCTGATTGTGGGACATTTATAATTATGATATGGTAACACAAAACTAAGCAATTTAAAATTTGTTTTTAGACTATTTAACACGAGGCTAGAATAAACTGGGTTTTATGACATTTGAGTGAAGAGTGTGCAATGTGTTTCACAACTACTTCTGATTCCAACAAACTAGTTCCATGATTGAATTGTATGGTGTAATATTTTGTCTCTGAAAGTGAACTAGTCGTTAAAAATTTATCTGTTAATGTTAAAATACTTATAGGCTGCCAAATACACAGCTTAAATCATTTTCTTCCTCATAGATACCTAGTTACATAGTAAAATCAATTCTGTGCCTCATACATACAGTAATTACAACCAGTAGAAGAATTCAGGCTGTGTTAACTGGATCATGCTGATTTGTGGGCTACCTTTAAAATTTTGTGAAACTCATTGTCAAATTTTGTACACAAAGTCAAACATCTTCATTATGTTCCTTTGTATTACCAAATTTCCATGGTAATACTGGATCTCTCTTCCAGTAAATAGAAATGAAGGAAAATCTTATGTTCTGAAATGAAGAAAGGATTACGGACTCTGAAGCATTTATAGAATATTATATTTATGTTCTTTTTTCAGTTTCAAATTTGTTATTATTTATTTATGTAGCCTGGATTTCCAAGCTAAAGATGTCATTGTAAGATCGAAAATTTATTTTAGATGTAGAGAGTTGGAGCTAAAGGTGCAAGGCTATTTAACAGCATATCTTTTAATGTATTTTTCATTTTCAAAACTATGAAATTGTGAAATATCCAATTCGCTAATGTACAACTACTACTTTAAAATGTGCCATCATTTTGATTGTTACTTGGTGAGTTTTAGAGTATGGTAGATTCTTGACACAAACTTTGCAGAAATGTTTGCAGAAAATGATGCTCATTAATGCTTTAAGCAAGCTAGATGAGTTTACTGAGTCAATTATTACTTTCATTTAGTTTTTTTCTAATGTTGTGCCAAGGGTGACTAGTAAAGGATTTCCTACTAGTGGAGTTCTGGTAGCAGATGCTCTGTCTTTTCCTTCTGCTAGGGGATGTAAAGATGTAGAAGTTAACATTTGGGTACTTCTGACATGAATGGATCAGAAACAGTTAAAAAACCACGTTCTTACAGGCCGTCTGCCAGTAGCAATTGTGTTCATGACATGTTCGTGATGTCTGAGCCATCCTTTGTCATGGTGCTAAAGGAAGCCTTTATAATGGTATTAAAAGCAATTTTTTTTTTATTTTTATTTTTTTTTTACAGCTATCCCTGGCAATGACTTTAGCACAAAGATCAGATGCAGTTACAAGTAAAACCTCCCATTTTCACTTGCAGTAGCAAAAAAAAATTCTCTTGGTTCTCTTCAATGTTCAGCTGCATTGGGGATGAGCAGCAGAGGAAGTTGCAGAGGATATAGGAAAGGCTATACTTTCTGACTGTCCATGATAAATTTCAATGCTGTAGCATCTGGAGATCCATCATTGCTGATGCTATTTGGTACTGACTTTTCCTATGCAGACTTCCTCTTCTGTCTGAAGCCTTCAAATTGTTCATTTCCGAGAGTGACTGTAGAAATATCGATATGCTGGATTTACAGGGAAAATCTTAATGTATTTTCTCTGTTACACTTTGTTTCCCATTTCCCTTTTAAGGTTGAGTAAGCAATGTGTATAACAATTTCAAGATGGAATATAAAGAAACACATCTGTGTAGAAATGTTGACAATTGTAAGGAAAAATCTCATAACATGAGGATACGCATACAAATACGCATTTGATAACTGGCTACTGCTTTACAATAAATATTTTCTTATCTGATTTCTATTTCTGTAGGACCCGGGGAATGTCTAATGTTGTTGTGCGGAGCCAGCAGGAAGGTCATTAATGCTGTTATATTTTTAGGTCTGAATTGTCACTATCAATGATGGTGCTTCATAAAATAAAAGAAACCATGTTTGCATGTCTCTGGGGAAAACACAGTAGTAACCACCAAATATTAACCACCATGTATGCTACATGGTCTTTATTCTTCCTCCATGTGTGTATGATTATTTACCATAAGCTTTTGCAGGATGCAGACAGAAAAACTGCCTTTTATCATAGCTTTTCAGCAAATCGAATGTGTGGAACAAAAAAAAAAACAACCAGCTTTTTGGTATCAGTGCTAATGATTTCACTTTGTGATTAGTGATTGTGAACATGAAGCTGTGGAAACTGTGAGGTCTTTGAGGTTTGTACAGTTAGAAAATTTCAGTTTCTGGAATTACATTTGTATACACATAAGGTACACTAACAACTCAGTAAAATACTGACACAAAACATCTCAGGCCTAAAATATTTAAAGTCTTCCATACAGCTTACAAAAGAAATAAAATGACTAATGTCATTTAATGTATTTTATAACATCCTGGCAATGGTAGTTCCGCCTGGTTGACCTATTTCTTACTATGGAACTTATTGAAGGATACTGTGTATCTGAATGCTTATTTTAATAACATAAGGGAGAAAGGTGTTGAGGTTGCTTTGGCCCTTATTTTATTTTATTTATTTTTTTTTATTTTTATTTCATTTTTATTTTATTTATTTATTTATTTATTTTGTTATTTTGGATTTGGGTGGGTTTTACCTTTGAATTGACAAATGGGATTTTTTTGTGTTTTGAAGTGGGTCACAATGCTGCTAACATGCTGTCCTTTGATTGCTTCTGATTCTGAGAATATTTTCTTCTCTCAATTCCAGGTTGGGTGGGACTATATCTGCATACAAGATAGTGCCAGATGAAATAGAAGAAATCAAGGTACAGTATTACTGCCTTTCAAAGCTGATTTTTTTTTGCTTGGAGAATTACAGAAATGTTGTGTTAGAAAGGCACATTATTTCTTGCTTTGAAATGCCTGAAGAGTACATAGCCTGTCTTTACTATCCTGTTTGACAAAATCTGAAGACCGAAAACAAGAATGATCATAAATATTGCTTATCTGAATTCATTGCTTATCTGAAAAAAAAAACCCATAACTTAAAAAATTTAATTAAAATTGAAAACTTGTTCTTTCCAGACATTTATAATCCTTGTTTTAATCGGTAAAATATGTATTCAGTAATTATTGATCTTGGTATTTCTTTATACATCCAAAACATTAAAAACTGTGCATTAAAATCTTAAAATTGTTTAATAGGAAATAATGGTTAATACTTATTTCCTTCAACTGTATGAATTGATGAATATCTTTACACTGCTGAAACATTTTATCATCCGCTCAATTTTAATAAAAATAAAAACACAGATGTGATGTCTGTAGTAAAGTTCTTAGATCCATATGTAGGCATGTGAAATAGAACTTTCCTCATTTTTAGAGTCATATCTCACCCTCATTTTAAGTGAGCTTTGGCAGGATTGATGCAAAAAATTTCTGTAATTCAGTGCATCTGTGTTTAGATATCTTGAAGACAGGTGCAGGACTATTGTGAATGTTAGCACAATAACAAATAAATATTTAGAGTTCTGTTACTTCTGAAATCAAAACCATGACCAATGTTCATTATTACAGACTTCATTTTAACTGAGTCCACTTCAACAATTTATGTCAGTTCTTAAATGGACAGCTGTGTGGGAATTTAGCCTAAATCTGTTTAACATGGTTTCTGTAATTGGTGCTTTATTCCTTTTAGTTGGCATTCAGTTATTCTGACCTATTGCTTGTTCATTATTATTTCATTGTGCTTTTTGTATATTTGTTTTCATCTTTGCAAAGAGATTCAGTAGTGTAAAATACAGTAAATGGAAGTGGTTGCAGAATTGTTTGGTCTGGACACAACTTCATGATATGTAAAGTTGTGAGGATTTATTCTTATTCAGTTAGCATCAAACCCAATATAAGCAACTACAGTGCATCTGCTTCAAAATCAAAGCCATCACTTCATGATCAAAGTAAATGTTTTTCTTACCTCCAAGATACATGGACTCCCTTATTTTAAATTACTAAGAGGAACATGACTTATGAGTTTAGATCCAACGTTTAAAATTGGGCAATAGAAGAGAAGAAAGAAGGTTTACAAAACTAACTGACGTTGACTGATATTTTCCTAGCTTTCAGAGAACTGTACCAAGGGTGTAAAAACAAAAATGAGAAAAATGAGAAAAAACCACAGACTTTGTCCTTTTATATATATATAAAAAAAGGACAATAGATTTGGATTACTTGATGTTGAAGGTAGTATGTTGAGGGCTTTATTGTGCAAACTGAGTTCAGTTAATGAAGAAAAATGGAGTGCTAGGAAATAAGAAATATATTTTTTTAGGAACTTACTGAATTAGGTATGCTTGTTAGTCAGAGATTTGGGTTTTTTTCCAATTGCCCACTAAGGAAGGAGGTCTGTTCTGATTTTCAACTCTATCTACTTAAGCTGATGCTTAAATCCTGAAACTGTCGGGAAAAGCAAAAAGGTTACAAACCTTCATCATTGATTTTTGTTAAACCAGCATGTAAGTGTGAAGGGAAGATTGTATTGTTCTAAATCAGACCCGATAGGAAAAAAACCACTTGCATTTCTTGTTTGTGGCAGCTGTCTTGTCTTGTTCAGGTAATGCTTTTTTAGTTGTGACAGAAGTCAGCTGCCTCATCATACCTTATGTGATTGAACTTCTGTAACTGTGATACACTATATGTTTCATGTGAAAAAGGCATGGCTGGAAGATGCTGTGACACAGCAGCAGTGAGTATAATAAACAAATCTATATTGAAATGGAAGACTGTTTATGTGCGTATTTTGAGTAGCAGCTACCATAGGGAGACTGACCATCCTTGTGTTGACAGAAGAGTCTTAACTTCAGAAATGTTCTCCAAGCAGATTAGAGTGGAAAAAGGTGAAATAATACAAGACAAAGCAAGGGAGGTTGTTGGAATGTTACGTTTAAAGATGATGTAATCTTCTTCCAAGCCCAACAGTTCACAGATATTTTGTCTCAGAACTATCCCTCCCCTCTTTAAACATGAAATATTAAGAGAGTTAATTTGGTAGAATATGCAAGAAGAATAGCTCTGTTTTTATTATATGATTTATCTTGACAGGTTGCTGAATTAAATTAAAGGAGTTTGAATAATCATGTTTTCTGATCTCAAAAAATAAATTGCTTGCTTAAATGGCAAAGGAGGATACTTTATTAGGCAGAGAACAATAATTATCATGACAAATAAATAAGTAATTTTGACAGCATTTCCATATATTCTAGAAAAGGTGGTAGATTAACCTCTTTTGTAGCTCAAAATAGCTTATGAGGAAAATGAGTACAGATTTACTGATTTCACTGATGCATGTAATTACTTCTTAGTTGGGGTAGTGTTGTAAAAATAGATTCTCTCAGTTTGGGAAAAGGAAAAACTCTGTAAGCGTTAGTATACCTGTCAGTTGAAATATGTCGAGAGAAGTTTAAAAAGAAAAAAAGTTTCTATATGTATTAGCAATTTCAAAAATAACCTGCATGATGTGCCTCTGAGTGTGCTTGTACGTATATGTGTATATATATGAGTTTACGTGTTCACATCACAATGTTCAGTAAATTTTAGTATGTTTACATTTTCCATCGTAGAGTGTTCAGAATGTAGTTATACTTGCATTTGAGTCCATTTAAATGATTTTACTATATGTATATTTGTACTGTGAGTTCATATATTGTTTATGAATATAGAATATTGTCTATGTATGTGTGTGCATATTTCTGCAAATGAGTATTTGGTTAACGTTGGGTAAAATCAAGCTGTGTTTCCTTGTTACCAAAGATATGTAATGACTTGGATAGCTATAGACATACAAATTAGGAGTATTTATGACAGAAGAAATAGTGTGTGCCCTATCCACCCTCATGCACATTTATTAGGGTTGGGAAGAATTGAGCGGAACTAATTGCCACTGCATCTACATCAGTTTGGAACTGAATATGATGCAACTTGGGTTGCCTGTTCTTATGTCACAGATGCATGGGTTCAAAGTGAGATCATTCAAACACTAATTGAATGAAGGTAACCATCACAGGTTCCTCCCCCTCAGAGCTCTTCTGGAAGATAGAAATGTCTTCTATAACATGATCTTCAGGAACAGTGCTTCGGTCAGAGAAACTATCAGAGCAGGAAAACTGGAGTGGAAGTATACCTGTCATTTTTTTCATTCCTGTCATTTCTCTGTCATTACTTAAAGCAATAACACTTTCAATACTTGCTGGTTTTAGAATACTGCAGGAACTGATGAAGTCATGAAGCATAAAAATCACAGCACATTTCTGAGAAACCGTAATTGTTTGGAATTTCTTTAGACATCTGTTTTCAGCAAAATCACTTGTCCTGTAAGCAGTGTTCTTTACAAACTTGAAAAAATATATTGGCAGTTTTGAGCCTTGTTCATTCACTGTAGTTGTATATTGTGCCTAGAGGAAAGCTTTTCTATGCCAAATAATGTAATGTACACGGGGACTGGAAGGCATCAGGCAACACTCGTCTTGGAGAGCATCTTTTGATTGGAGGCTTAAAAAAACAAACAAACAAAAAACACTTTGTAACAAACTTAACATTTTTGTATTTCTAGTTAGTGACAAACACAATACTGTTTTGCTTGCAATGATGTTTTAAGATAAAAGAGCAATTTATGACTATTATTGAGAAGAGTGTTTTTGTTTTGTATCTGTACATAGTGGTTTCATATGCAAATGGTAATGTCTTTTGGTTTACAGTTCCATGATGTGCTTTTTTTAGTTGCAGTATTCTGTCATAAATATATGATGTTGTGAAGGGTGGTTCTTCTAGAGCAAGACTTTATGAATGACATTTCTTAAAAATATTTGATTTGCTTGAATTTGCAAGTCAACAGCAGAGACAAATATAAATGCTTCCCATATATTTTTCATGTAGGATTGCATGCCTCTTTCTGTCTTCTCAACACCATAAATGAATGTGACAGCAAGTGTCAAAAAGTAAAACACATTGGCAATGAATTTCATTCTTGTAATACTTGAGCTCTGAAACAGATATTTTAGTGTAGAGAACGAGATTAGACTGTTATTTCTTCTGGTGGTAAATTTTGAGTAATCTTTTTTTAGAACTGTTTTTTATTATTGGTCGTAAGTGTAAACGTAAAGTACTTAATGGGCAAAGATGGGATTTGTTTTAAGTCCATTTGTCCACTCTTTCACACAGAGATATGCTTTATACTCATCAGAGAACACCTGTAATTTTTCTCCAGTTGATCTTCAAATGAAAGCATATATTCACGATGTCTTAAAGGCTACATTCAAAGGCTTTTTCCCAGAGTAATGATCATTCTCTTTTCTTAGAAGCATGTTTCTTTATTGGTCTAATATGAGAAAAGTTCAATTCTTAAAGGTCAGTTACTTTAGATGACCAATGAATTCTTCAGGTTTTAATTTCCCACATGATCATATTAATGAACTTATGAAGAAAGCTGATTCAGTGTTAATGCCGACTGCCTTTCAGAGCAAGGATGGACTTCAGTAAAAAAAAAAAAAAAAAAAAAAAAAAAATTATTTGAAATGATTGCAAATAGAATCTGTCTATCCAGAGGCATTTTCTGAGATCTGCTTTGTAGACCCCATGGCATCACATGCCTACATAATAGTGTATGCTATAATCTTTCTAATATGCTGATACGAGTAGCTGATGAAACTTATGCAAACTGTGTGCAGACAAAAGACATTGGCCATGATGCCTCAAAGCATTGTCATGTTTGTTGATGTGTGGAAAAATAAGTAGCCATTTGTCAGCAAGTGTGTTTTTGCTGTCCTGTGTAACT